CTGGCTCCAAAAGGGAGTCAGTCGCATCATATGACCCCTTTAAAATGCCCAACTTTACAGCAGAAAAAAAAATGTTTACAGCCTGGTACAAAAAGTGGTTTTGGTCTATATAGCTAATTTTGCCCTTCATGACAACTGCGAGGGGGGTGAATTTTTTTATAACTCATCTGTTTAAAGTTCTGCATAATTAAGGACGTGGCCTCTTGAGTGACAGGTGGATTGCCGCTGCTGTCACCACTGTCGAGCTTGGTGGGCGTGGTTTCAGCAACCAACTCCCGTCTCTTTGCCCATTTTCGATTATCCGGAAGTGACACGCTGCCAAGATGGCGACGGCCGGCTCTGCCAACTTTGAGCTTCAAAAACACTTTTCAGAAACCTACGGGTGACGTCACGGACACTACGTCCATGTTTTTATACAGTCTATGGTTTTTTCAGACACGTGCAGAAAAAGGCTTACCAAAACAAAGTTACTGGGTTTAACCTTTTTCACGTTCCCTTGGTTGGTAGATGCACCGGGGACCTGATTATAGCACTTAAAAACTGGAAAAGTCAGATTTTCATGATATTTCACCTTTAATGATGGATTTGTTTCTTACAAACACACAGTGTTAACGTACATTTTGACGGTACCCATTCACTGCAAAGGATCCACTAGTGAGCAAGTGATGTGATGCTAAATTTAGCCAAATCTGATCCAATGAAGAAACAAACTCATCTATATCTTGTATAGCATAAGGGTGGGTACATTTTCAGCAATTTTTTATTTTTGGGTGAACTAGTTTTTTAAATTTATCTTAAAATTTCTCACAAAATGATACAATTGTACTTGATTTTTTTCAGACAGAAAGAGAAATCTACTACACATGAGGTAAGTTAATGTCATCACTCCAGCTTGTTTGTGATTAAAAAAAAATGTAGTTTTTTTTTTTAAATGCTTTTGTCATTTAATTGGAAAAGGGGGGGGCGGGGATTAAATATAATAGAAAACTTAAAAGAAATGCTAAGCAATAAAAGCACCTCAAATATACAACTCAACTTTTACATTTGCATAGATTTTAATCCGGACACGTCATTTAACAACTACCCACTGGAAGACAAAATCAGGGTCATGTTAGTGCATTATAAGTGACTAGACTTCTTGAGACTGTTTAAAAGCACACTGATTTTACATTTGGTTGCTTGCCATTTCCCAGCTGCATTTCAACTAAAGAGAATTGCAGCACATTAACTATGGATGCAGACTCACTGGAGCAGCCTGGGATTCAGAGTCTTATTCAAGGACACAATGACTCGAGGTTAAACCTAATATCTCTGTGTTAATGGCCCAGATTTTTAACCATTAAGCTGCATCCCCCCCACGATAGAAAACCTTTTTATACGGCATAGAAGCTTGGGCTAGAAACAGGCTGTTTTGACACACCAACAATGACTGCTGATTAGCCCTGCTGTCTGAAGCATGAAACTATTCTGAATCCAACTTTGGCAGAAAAGAGATTTAATGAATTTTTAATGGGGAAATAGAAAATATCCTCAGTGTCCAGTCATCTGTTGCCCTAATACAGAAATGTGTGGCGATTTCCATGAATATTAGTTAATAAACTAAACACTAAACTAAATTCTGTCATCATTTACCCTCATGTTATTCCATAGCCTACCTCTAAGTCTGTTTCTTCTGTGGAACACAAATGAAGATATTTTGAAGAATTTTGATAATAAAACATTTGTATTCCTATTGACTTATTTTTGTCCATACAATGGAAGCCAATGGGAACCAAAACTGTTTACTTACAAACATTATTCAAAATATCTTCTTTTGCTCTCCACGGAAGAAACTAAGTCTTACAGGTATGAAAAAACTTTTTTGGGTGGACTCTATGTGCTTTCAATGTATTTTACTATAGTTCTATTCCTACAAAGCTACTGAAAAATGCAACTGCATTCATCACTTCTATTAACACATACTAAAAAGCCTTAAGGTGGCAGTCGCTAAACCTCCAAATAAGAAATCAAATCGACTTGTGTGATTTGGGTAATTAGCACCAGATCCATTTTTTCCAACCATTCCTTTACCTCCAAAAGAGTACAGAGAGCTGTCATTCTGCTTTAGTTATTTTTTTTAAAATAATGAGCTCCTAAAAATAAGGAATGAGACCCAATAACTGAGAAATGAATGTTAGACATGCATGTTGAGGAACATTTAATCTCTTCAATGACTCACATGCATCTAGAAACAGCAGGCTGGATAACTGGTTTATGCTTTTAACCATCTTGCTGTGTTATAGGCCTAATGATAATGCATATGTATCCCTGCTGCCCAACTTCACTCCATAAACTTTAACAGAAACTATCCTGGGAGAATATGACTACTTTCTTTTCCATTTTTCCACTGATTTATCTTACAGTGTACATTTCTTGTCACATTTATATGAAACAAATGGCATACTGTATTTATCTAAGAGACAAACTTCCACTGGGTTGGGGATGTTTTGTGTGGCTGTGCTTACTGAGAGTTTGTGTTCATGTTCTTTGGTTACTCTGCTGAGAAGCTGAGCTTTCCTGCGGTTGAGAGCTTCAATCAGAGCATCACACTGGGCGACCAAACATGCCTCGAATTCAACCCCATTCTCCTGAAACACAAGGTGAGGAAAGAATCAGATCATTAAAGTTGATACAGCACCGCACAGGTGTGTGTATAAGTGTAGAAGTGTTAGTGTACTGTATGTCATTGTTGTACCTGTATGTGTTGTACCATATTTCTGAGCTGCACCAGGAACTCTTTGGCCTCTGTGGCCCGATCAGACAGAACATTCAGTACTTGAGAGAGCTGTCCCTGGAAACATAAAGACAGAAGGAGAGAGAGATGTGAGAAGATATAGGAACTATATATAAAGAGCAATTGAACTTTACTAACCTAATTTTACTAAAGCTTTAGTAATGCATGGATTTAGGTTATGTGTGGACCTTTCTAAAGCTTTTTGGATAAACCAGTTCCAAAATTCTAACAGCCTTGACATTTGGAAAATAAACAATTTCTGTTTCTGTCTGAAATATTTTCAAATTCATTTTGTGAGTAAACTTTCTGAAAAAATAATAATAAAAATAATAATATTAATAATAATAATAAAAAGTTAAATTTTATGCTTTTTTTGTTTTAGTACAATACACTACTATTCAGAAGTTCGAGGTTATTTAAAATAACTTAAAGTGTAATTCATTTCTGTGATGACAAATCTGAATTTCCAGCAGCCATTACTCCAGTATTCAGTGTTCAAGAATCACATGATTCTTCAGAAATAATTTTGATATGCCGATTTGGTGCTCAAAAAACATTTCTTATTATTTTCAATGTTAAAAACAGTAGTTCCACTTAATATTTTTGTGGAAACCATGATACTTTTTTCAGGATTTTATTGATGAATATAAAGTTTAAAAGAATAGCATTTTTTAAACTTTTGACATTTATTTTACTTTTTTGTAACAATGCAAAAGTCTTTACTGCTACTTTTGATCAACTGAATGCATTTTAGCTGAATAAAATAAGTAATTCTTTAAAAAAAATACAAATCTTACTGTCCCCAAACTTTTGAACAGTACTATATACTATGTAAATCTTGACATTTTTTCAGCATTTTATTTATAAATGGCGCTTTATTAGATTTAAGACCATAAAGAGATCCAATATTTTATTAAAATGACATTTAATCATTTTTTATCTTTACTATAATTCATTTTTTTCTGTACTCTTAACACTTCGTTTAACACGGTTTGACATTCTGTTGAATCTGCTGCAACAGGGAATCAGTGATGTACATGAAATGTGTTTATGCTAGAAAGTTGAGTTGAGTGAGGAAGTGACATAATTAGTCATTAAAACTGTCATTTAAAGAGTGGGTGAGAGAATAGGAAGAGGAGTGAACGTGCGTATGTGTGTGCGTCAGGCACAGTGGAAGGATGTTGCTTTAGAGTGGGGAAAATATCCCAATATAAATGTTCTCACATTGCTATGACAACCATCCGCCAAGAGACCTCCACTTTCATTTGTGGTCTGTTCTCAAACGAGGAACAAAAATGAGAGAACAAGGAATGAAACACAGTGCTCCAAATTTTATTCTATGGCCTACATACTACGTCACAGCCTTATACACTACAGTATTACGCTCTAGAAGTTAACGTTACATACTATAGCCATATGACAACCTCACACACTAAAGGCCAGCACATTACAGCACTGCACACTAAAACAATACATACTAACATACTAGACATACTAAAGTCCTACGATGAGAATCCAGCAAGTGCAGTGTTACAGAAACATCCTATCTTAAGCATTTGTCCTAATTGGGAGCTGAAATCACTATTGTTAGTAAACAGATAAGACGGGATTCTGGAGTTCAGTTGGTTCTGTAATAAGGGCCCAATTGCTACAAACCCATTAGTTAAATAATTACGGAAAGACACCACAGGCAGAACCCTTGTTTTTTCTTGCACTGGTCAATTTTGAGATTTTGGGCTATTGTGCTTCCATATGTCTTATTTCAGACTGGTGGAAAGAAAACATCCAAAACACACATGTAAGGGTTAATTTTATTATACTTTTTGCATTTTCATTTGTAGATTTTAATTAAAATGCATATCTTTAAAATGCCATTTTCTCAAAATGAGTTTTTCCTTCTGCGCTGAGCCAGAAATCTCAACTTCAGTAACACTTACATACACCAAATTCTAATTCAATATTTTGAAGGTCTTTACAGAGGGGTTGTTCATATATCATTCACCTAATTAATACAACATTTTATGTCTAAAAAATATGTTAAAAATGAAAAACCTTTAGCATAACATGTCAACAAAATGAAATAATTTATCCAATGTTCAGATTTCTGTTCTGAAAAATGTATGTAAATAAGTGCATGTTTAATTAGATAATGCCTCATTTGTATATTTAAACATAACATTTCAGAAAACATGCAAAATAATTGTGTTATTGTACTGTGATTAATCAAGTATGGTGATCTATTTGAAATTTACCGCATTCACCTGTGGTGTCTTGCGACTTGCCAATAATTGTAAAGCTTTATCACGAGAGTTTTCTTACCTTAAAAGAGTTATTGGTGCAACCCACCCTTAGTCTCATATCACAGTGTTACACACTAGAATACCACATATTAGGGCCCAGCATATCACTGCATTACACACTACTACGCACTACTAGTTTGCTCATGCAATGAAAGACGTGGTCGGCGACAGGGGCAACACAAATATTTAGAAAACATGTTTGGAAACGTATTTCCATTTGGTGCACTATAGCGGCACAAAAATTGCACACTTTGAGAAAAAAGATGTAAATTATTAATCTTTGCTCTGGAATTCAACATGGAAATATCTTTCTGTTGCATTTGAACTTTACTATAAATCTTTAGCAATGTATAAACCAGGTCCAAAATCAAACGACAGCCTTTTCAATGGAAAACAAACAATTTCTGTTTATAATTTAGTGAACTGTTAGTAAAATCTGTAAAGTCTGTAAAATAATCATGCAAAATAAGCAAAATGTTTAAAAAATACAAAATATTCTATATATGGCAACGTTATATCTGACATCCAGGACTCTAGATACTGCACTGGCCATATCTGTGGACTACTATTTTACCAATAAAAATATTAAAATTGTAATAATTGGCACTGATGCAAAAAGCAGTAACATATTCCCTTCAAGTAAAAAGACTTTCAAAGCATCAACACATCACAGGCCCCATTTCCTGCTTGCTGTGTAAGTGTCTGTGTATGTAGCACGGAAAGATAGATGGAGAAATGGAGAAAAAGAGAAGCATATGGTGCTCTGAGGCTACAGCAAAACTACAATCTGTTTAGTGAATGACGAGCAAGTGACTGCAGTGCGGAAAGAGGCCATTTTCCTCTGATATCAGGCCAGCTCGCCAGTGTTCAGTGAAACTGCTACATATGGGACCACAGTAGAGGACACTGATCCAAGATCTGATCTGTGTGTGTGTGTGAGTGTGTGTGTCCCATGTGCTAAAAGGGGGAAGCCGTATTTGGGTCTGCCGTGATGCTGCTGCTGTCCCAGTTCAAACTGATATTATGCAGCCACAACATCAGACATGAAGCACTGAACAGAGAGTAATGTAACTGAACACAAAATGACGCAGCTCAACACATGGAGTAATGCAGTGCTTGAAATGTATAGAGACATATTTTGAAGAACATATTTTGAGCGCGCAAAAGTGCGTTTTGCACACGCGCGAACTGAGTTTTGTGGAGAAAATGTTTGTCTCGCAAAGAAGAAAGTATTTAGAGCGCACGAAAATCAATTTTGCATTTAAAATACGTTTTTGGATTTGTGCAGACCTTCTCTTTTGCGTGTGCAACGTTTCACTTGCTTGCTCACCTGATGCCCGCCCTCAGTGCTCTCTAAATGCCAACAGCT